AGCCATGGATGTATGCCAGCAATGGTAGGATGCAGTGTGAAGGTTGTGTTGTGGAATCATGTTTAGCTGAGCGGAGCAGCAGAGTGACAGTGACAGAGCGGCAGGCGCTTCGCTCTGTCTGGTTATCACTGTCATGGAGCAGTCTGCTGCAGCAGCAGGCCCAGCTCTCAGATAACCACACAACTTACAGCCCCTTTATCATAATTAACTTTTCCTTTTTAGCCTTAAAAGGCCTTCCATTACTGGGTCCTTCTCTATCGGCCAACTGACACTCCACACGATTGCTTTCTCTCTCAATAGGCCTCTCACTACAGTCCTGCGTAAATGGGGGGTGGAGAGATAGAGACCGATAGGAATGGGAGGAGGTGGTGGGGGTGGCTTGTTTATTTGATGGGACAATAAATGTCTTTGATGCATCAACAGAAAGAATCAGAATATTTTTTCAGTTCTGACTGTACAGTTCTTAATAATGGGGACTTTAGTATCGGATAGAATTACTCATTCTTATTTTATGTCAAGTCTTTTGAAACAATGCTCTTCATACCGAAATAAACTGCGACAACTTCAGACATCCCAATGAGATGTTTAAAATGTTAATCCTGTTTTTTTCTCTTTGGTACAAATAAAATTGAATTATATTGATGGTTAAAGATGAACATTGCCCATATTCTAACAAGAGACTGCACCTATAATATGTGGATAAAAACATGTGGATCTTTCCACATCATTGTGTTTGTTTGTTCCCTGCATCGTCGTATACAATTTTACCTGATGCTGTTTTGACTTCTGTAATGAGACTGCTTCACCTGCCGCCTGTTGTTCTTTACAGATCTGTTTATCATCAACAGTCAGTGTTGTCAGACCTCACGATGAAACATGTAACATATATTTTTCTACTCCATTTGCTTTGACAGAAGAACATGTTATCACTCCATCAATAAGTCATAACAGTGTAGTGTTTATTGGTTCAATTTTTATTTTTGTCCACCGTCGCAGAATTGGGAATACAGTACCCACTGTCTGTCAGTCCATTTATGCATGTTGTTAGCATAATAATTTGGAAAGCAAGTCAGGTACCGACTTCCATTTTGGTGTGCGGCTACATCTAGGCAATATAATTACTTCAATGTATAATTTCCTCAAATGATCGGGATGGTCCTTGGGGTGGCCAAAGATTAATCTGTGGGTGCCAAGGCCACCATTAGCCACCCCTTGGCTCTTCCATAGTGCCTGGTTTTGCCAGAATCCGTTAGTCTGTGCTTCTTCTAACAAGGACAAGAAAACTCCCTCTGTTCTTCGGCACTTTGTAACTTTTGCCCACTTGAATACCTCAGACCAAAAACATGAAGGTTTACTCTAAATTCCCTGTTCAATTCCAATCCAGAAAAACACTCATCTTGAAAACTACAAGCATTCACTATTCAAATCCCTCATTGATGGATGGGTGTCATCTGAGTACTGCTGGTTATAGTAACAAACTTAAAAAATATTATTGAAAGGAAGGTTTTTTTCCACTATGGAGTATGATGTTTGTGGGAATCAGTTTAGTTTGTTGGTGGCTCCTCAGATCGAAGAAGTCCTTTGGATGAAGAACAACATATCTCGGCAACAAAAGAAAACCATCCAGATGACCTGACTGAACATTGTTGGATTTTATACCTGGATTATTGAGCATGAACTTTGGTGATTATTGAAAGGAATTCAGAGCTACACCTCCTCCTGCTACTTTTACCCCTTTTCCATTAGTAACGGCACAGCGCGACTCGACTCGGCTCGGCACGGTTCCAAGGCTTTTCCATTAGTAACGGTACATAGAACCAGTCCCGTTTTACAGAACTCTTGGCTCTGTGGTACCAGCCGTGCTGAGCAGGTACAAAAACGTGACGTCAGAACACTGTTGGTCACTGATTGGGCAGGGGAAAGAGTCACTGGATCTTTCAGAAACTTTTCAAAACACCGAGCCGCCATTTGCAATTTCTTGGAACTCGGAGCAGCGGCTGGACCTATTGTAAAGATTTTAAAAACAATAATGACAACACCGTGGTCTAATGTCGACTCGGGTCTCAGGACCCCGGCCTTGCGTGCTCATGAAGGCCGAACCTCGATCCCAGCAGATGGGTCTGGCGCACGGAGGATGGAAACGATTTTTTAAACCATCATTTTTCAGTCAGGTCATCTGGACAATTATACCAGGATTATTGAGCATGGACTTTGTTGATTTTTAAAAACATTTTATGTAATGTATTTTTTTTAATCAGTGAAGATTTAAAAAATATATAAACGTGGTGGCTTCATTGTGAACTCCTGTTGTCACTTTTATCACTATTAAATGATTGTTAAAGTTAACTCAGCTGAAAAATCATAAAAAGACACAAAATTATTGGATCTCTCAGGAATATTTCCCTCAAATATGTTTAAAGAAGAGATACAGCCTTTAGTTCAACTTTATTCTAACCCACAGATGTACAAATCACAAAACAAGAATTAAACTTTAAAGCAAAGCTAAAAAATAATAATAATAAAAATTTGAACAAGAAACAAAACCACACATCTAATTGTACAATAAAAGTAGAAACAATGAGTAATAAATACATCATATGATGAAGGAAAGGTATAAAAATTTTAAATATAGATGTTTTTGTAGAATCTGCTTCATCAGAGATTTAATAGTGAACTAGAGTTCATTAAAAGTTCATTAGCAGGATATCTATCTATCTATCTATCTATCTATCTATCTATCTATCTATCTATCTATCTATCTATCTATCTATCTATCTATCTATCTATCTATCTATCTATCTATCTATCTATCTATCTATCTATCTATCTATCTATCTATCTATCTATCTATCTATCTATCTATCTATCTATCTATCTATCTATCTATCTATCTATCTATC